AAAATATCAGTAGCCTTAATGAAATAGTAGTTTATTTCTTGCTCAAAGTCCAACTGGCTGTAAAGGGCTGGGAGTCAGGCATTGTTCCACACGGTCATTCAGCAGTTCGAGCAGGTGGAGATTCTGCCATATTTAACAGAGCGCTGCTGAGGTGTCCGTCAGCATCTCCCTGCAGCAGGCAGGGGTCGGGGAGACAGTGGAGTATTACCCAGGTGCCGCATCTGAGCCGGGTCTGGGGGTGGCAGCGTGAAAGGGAAATGTAGTCTCAGGGATGTGTGGCGGGGGCAGGTGGGGGAACAGCTCACCTGTCTCTGCATAATTATTTTAGGCCAGTCGGGAGTCCTGGTTGCACCTGAGCCGAGGAGCTGAGGCACAGGAAAGGCTGAGTGGTGAGTTAGGGGAAAGCTGGAAGCTAGCTGTGACCTTCCGTTTGCTCTGGGTTAGAAACCTCCAGAGAAAACGCGGCACGTCCAGCTGATGGGGAGAGAGGGAGCACCTCAGGTGACAAGAAGAGGACAGTAGGTTTCCTGAAAGTAGAAATACCCTGGAAATGGGTCAGGCCCAGTGAGTGCAAACTAGGACGAGGCCTGAGGTCACTGAAGAGCCTTCCGGCCTGACTGCTGTGGCACCCTGTGGGCACTGGGGAGGAGAAGCCGAGGGTGACGCTGGAGAAGCCGAGTCCCCGGGGGCGCAGGCGGCTCTGCTGCAGGCGTGGAGAGGCAAGTGCAGAGGAGTGAGGCCTGGCCTTGCTTCCTGGCAGAGGAACTTGGGGAGCAGGTGTCCCCCAGGGCGGAGCAGTGGTGCGGAGTAATCCGCAGCCCAGGGACGCGAGTGAGGCCAGGAGAGGGGGCGCTCAAGAGCCCAGCAACCGTCCAAGGGCACAGCAGTCATGAAGGGAACTCACAGGGGTGGCTTGGAAGTGACAGTGGCTGCCGGGCAGATGGCGCCCAGCCAAAGCCCCTCCAAGGAGGTCCCCAACAAAGGGCAGGTCTGTGCGGAGTGGCCTGGGGCTGCCCGGGGCAGCTGCAGTGACCGTGGAAGGCACGATCCAGACACAGTCACTGCAGAGGCACAGGCCGTGGCCCGGGCAGATCCTGGAACACTGAGACTCCCCCTTGGGTCTACCAGAAAAACTAAAGGGCCAAAAAAAACCCTGGGAAGAAAATGGCTGCAGTCCCGCAGCTCAACAGATGAGACCTAATGCGCAGAAAACATTTAACTGCTGGGTTCCGGGAGCGTTCAGGTGGTACGTGTAGAAAAAGAGGCCATTACTGTTCAGAAATGAACTTCAAGCTTTAAAAGTTTTAGAAATCAGGAAAGACTGTTAAGAATCTTTAATTTTAAAAGTCAGCCCAAAGTACATAAAAGTCCCAACATATAAAACATATTTATTTTAAATATTACCAATTAGACTTCCTTGTTTCCAAACAAATTCCCTACACTGGAGTCCACAGAAGGGTCCCCTCATCCCCAAAGAATAAATTCAGCCTCCATCTGAAATCCCAAGGCACCAACTGCTCTGGCTTCAGGTGCTCGGCCCACGCGAAGGAGTTTCCAGGGTCTCTGCACGAGGCCTGAGGCTTTGGGAAGGTGAGGAGCAAGAACTGGCCATCTGGAGACTAAATTTCCAGCATGGACCACCTTTCGGGATGTACCTGGAACTAAAACAGTCCAAGTCAGTGTGTTGCGTCCAGTCCCAAATCCAATGGACCTGCTGCCTTGAAGCTACCCAAGCTATTAATGCTCAGTGACAGCTGAATTTAACTGCTTTTCACCCCAGCTCAGCATCAAGGCCTGAGTAGAAATAATCCTTTTATCTCCCAATAAAGGAGAATTTACTGGCATTTTGTAGCTCTGCTCTCTTTGAAGAGCCATCTTTAGAAGCTGGAGGCTTTGCATTTCCTGCGGTGGTCAGATTAAAGACACTTTTCATTAATCTCACTGGGAGATCGGAGGGCACGTAGTTGACTATATTGTCACCCAGTTGCCCTATGGAAAGTTCTGTGAATTTCCATTTTAAACAGATTTCACAGCACAAATGCCACTCTTGAAAACTTTCCTGAAACACCAAATAGTCTGCAGAGCCATACTGTTTAGGAGCCAGCTGTTACCTCGCACCAGCAAGTGGGGACACTTTGAAAGGATAGAATTTGGTTTGCTGTCTTCTTTACTTGCCCCCCCATGGGTATAATCCTACCCTGATCATTTTCTGCTGTATATAATCCTGCACAGATGACAACATTGTATAGTAGACAATCTAATGTAGTAAGACTTTCTGTTCACTTCCATAAAGAGAGCTCATATTTCCCCTGAAATATAGCACTGTTAATACCTCATTCATCCCAACTGATAAGGCAGCTGACATTTCCAGCACGGGGTTTGTGACCTTGAATGTGTTCTTTTATTTTCATCCTCAGAGTAACTCGGTGAGTTTGCTGTTCTATGCCTCATTTTTTAAGTGGAAAAACTGAGGCTGGGAACTTTCAACAATGTGCCCAAGGTTACTCAGCTAGTCATTGGTAGAGCTGAAGAATGTGTCAGGTCTGATCCTGAAGCCAGTATCCCTCCCAAGATACCATCCTGGAGATCAGGATTTCTCACCCTCAGCACCTTTCACATTTTAGAGTGAATAATTATTTGTTGTGGGGACTGTCCTGTGCATTGAAGAATGTTTACCAGCATCCCTGGCCTCGACCCACTAGATGCCAGTAACACACATGTACACAGTTGTAACAACCAAAAATGTGTTCAGACTTTGCCAAAAATCCCCTGCAAGGTGAAATCACTCCCAGTTGAGAGCCATTTTTGTAAATACTACTGAAGCAGTTGCTTTCCTTACATCGCCACGGTTTTGCTGTGCTATGAAATGCACAGAATAATTGGAAGGCCCTAACAGTACCCAAGAGTGGCCTTACAGGGTATATTTTAAGAAAAACAAGTCAATTAATTATTATTTTAGTCCTCTGCCCCTAAAAAGCTCCTACTCCTGTTATTCCTGATAACAGTTCATCATCTCCGATGAGTAAATCCTCACACTGAAAAATGCTCAAAAGCCTCCATGGCCTGCTGCTGCCTCAGGAATTGCGTGGCAACTCCTCACAAGACATTTGAGGTCTCCCCAGTTTTCCCTCAGTCCTTCTCCTCACCCTCAAACCCCACACACTTGCAGGCTGCAGCCAAGTAAGATGACTCAGTGTGGTCTGAACACATCCTACGTTTTCTTGTTCCATGTCTTGGCTGAGGATGTCACCTCTGCTTCCCACATCTTTCTTTCCCAGTCCCAGGCCTGCACCCCGTCTTTGCCTTTGGAGTCCCTCGCATGTCGCTGGCAGTTTACCCGATGCCCTTGCATCTCGCAGCGCAGCGGTGAGGGACGGCGCTCTCCTGTGTTCACGGCTGGTTTGTGTCTCTGCCGTCCCACCCCGCCTTGTGGAGAGTGTGTGATCTTTCCTGCTGCACTGAAAGTTCCAGAGAACAAGAACTCTGTTTTAGCCTTTCTATGCTGTCCTTACCTTTTAGCAGATGGGCTGTGCTTCTTGGATTGGAATGAAGATGGGATTGAATGAATACTGCAAAAGTAAACTTGCGGCCAGTTTCCATGGGGATTAAAATGAATTTCAAATGTGAAATCTGAGCAGCATAGTGAGGACTTTTGAGGACCTTGAACACCACAGTTCACCTCTCTAGTGCAGAACATCCCTGCCCACGTGACTGAGGCACACAGGAGGGCCCCTGACCTGGGGACCTCCAGGGCTGTGTGCATTGAGCCCCACTCAGTGGCACCCGGCTGAGGGATACGGGGCCTGGCATCTGGTCCAAGCAACCCTCACTGAGCGTGTGCTCTGGGTGAGCCTGGCCCATCCAGAGGAAGGACCCCTTTTCCTCACTTTCACAAAGGTGCCTTATGGGCTGGCGGAAGCCCCGTCAGTAAAAACTCTTCCACTGGGCCAGCCCGGTGGCGCACTGCTACAGTGCGCCGCTTGGGAGCGCGGTAGCGCTCCCGCTGAGGGTTCGGATCCCACATACAGACCAGTTCCCGCTCACTGGCTGAGTGAGGTGCGGGCGCAACGCCGAGGGTTGCGATCCCGTTGCCGGTCCCGGCCTGGTACAGGAGCGACACTGAGGGTTGTGATCCGTTGCCAGTCATGAAAAAAAGACAAAAAGGGGAAAAAAAAAAAAAAAAACTTCCACAGAGGCAAGAAGGGATCCTGTGTCCAACATTTTTATCCCCAAATTTTCTGTCTATCACTCCTTTTATTAAGATCTGTTGCACTGAATTCCGGCATCCTAATCAACCGTCGTTTTACCACTACTTCTTGACTAATAAGAGGTTGGTATTGATTCATTCAACAGATATGTCTGAATCCTTCAATGTGTTTATAGGTCACAGGAGTGGAGAAAGCAAAGCCTGTCCTCATGGAGCTTATATTCTAGTGGATTCTTATATTCACCCATTGAGTGTCTCACCATCAGGCAACAACCCACATATGATTAAATTTATATCTGGGCTCCTATTTGGGAGTATTTTTGATACCCCTGGCTTGACTTGTTCTTGAGAGTGGAGTTTCTGAATTAGATGAATGAGTTGGTCTGCAGCAAATACTCTAGGAACGTTCCCTTGCCCAGGTTACCAAAGCAACCAAATGGATGTCTTAGAGAACAGCCCTCCACAGAGAAGGCCTCATCCCTGGGGGCCACATGGTCTCATTGCAGCTGCATCGGGCTCAGGCCATCTGACCAGGTCTCTTGAGAGAGTCTGGGCATCCCATAACATTTGCATATTCTATTAAGCTGCAAATTGGGTGGTGTCTAGCAACCAGCCCACATCCATTTTTATTCTGAAAAAGTCCAGAAAGGGCCTTCTGAGCACAGGTGAGCAGGATACAAGTGGTCTGTCCCCTTGAAACGTGCGGGTCTAACCTTCGACGTTCCTAGTAACAGAAACAGAAATCATCACCCCTCGAGTGCCTCATTTTACCCTTCCCCTCTCGTCTCTACAGATGGGAAACTGTGCAGCAGCTTCAACCGAGGGCTCATCTCGAGGGCAAAACTCAAGGCCATCAAGTATAGTGTTGTCATCATCCTTGGTAAGCATGTCATTCCCTGCATTGCAAAACTATGTGAACATACCAAACGCAAGCTTGCACCTAAAGCTCACACCAGAAAGGAGCTTGTCTACGGACATTTCCACCTATGTCTGATTGGGAAGGAATATGTGGGACTCATCAGTCTGTCTGTGGCTCCTTCAAGCGCCGACATTTGGTTCCTAATCCCTCTTTTCATGCATGTAGTTGCCCAAGGTCATGAGTTGGATAATACAGAGGAATCTGATTGGACCCTACTGCATCGCCCTGTTGACTCAGTCACTTCCTTTAAAGCACACCCTCCCCAGGGCTGACGTTCGTAACCACAGGAGAGGTGGAAGTGGCACTCCATCTCTGCTTGACATCCAATTCCAGGGTCGCCACAAACACTCCTTATGGCCACGTTGCCTGCCCTGCCATCCTCTTGTCTTCTGCCCTCTCCTTTTCCTTTCTCTCTACTCTGAAGACCCGGAAAGTCACCTTGCACTGTCTCCCGTCTGAAATGCTCTGCTCTCAGATGGCCACATGGCTGACTTCTTTACCTCACTTGTTCCCCAACAATGCCACCTCCCTGAGGCCTCCTTGACAATGCTTTTTAAATAGCCTTCCTCTAGTTTTTATTCTGCCTTATTTTTCTTCACGGTTCGTAACTTCTACTTGACACTGTGGAAAATATATTGATTTTCTCATAGTCTGTCTCCCCCACTGGAGTAATAAATCCGTGAGGGCAGTGGCTTTTGCTTTTGTGTTGCTTACATTATTATCACCAAGGTCTAAAGTAGGGTCCCACACACACGGCTCAATTAACATTTGTTAATGAATGAGGACATGCAAGAAGAAAAGAGATTTGTTCTACTTCCTTTTTATTTAGCTCAAATACCTGCCTCTGTGCCATTCTGGCAGCTCTTAGAAGCTCCGAGAAAGCATAGCTGTCACCTTAGCTGCATGTCAAATCACCAGAATGGTCCGTTCTCACCTTTCTAAAATGCAACTGCAAAATGCCAAACAGACCACACACACAGTGACTCAGCCAGCAGAACGTGGGCACAAAACAACACTGCAGGCAGAACTCGGGATAAAGCATATACAACCCTCCAGGGCTCAAAACCCTTCTCAGAGCCTTCCGAAGTAGATCACAGACTTGTCTTCCCAGACAATCAGAATCAGAGAGATGCATGTTCTCGATGTTGAGTCGGGAAATGGATGCTCACACAGGTGTTCCAGAGCCAGCATAGCCCTTTTAAATCAGGAAACACACTCTCAGGCCCTGTGGGATCCTTTCAGTCTGCAAGCAGGAATGCCCACAGAGGGTCAGCAAGTGTTCACAGACCTATCAGACTAAAACGGCACTTTCTAGAACAAATAATGCTCCTTTTCAAAATCCTGAAATAAAATGCATACATAATACTACCTACCTACTATAATTCTTAAAAGATCAATATACTGCTCCAAAATAATATAAAGCAGAAATAGCAAGAAAATAATTTATAATAAAATAATACCAGTTTTAATATGTAAATACTTGGACACACCTACACGAGAAGAATAATGTAGTCAGATGCTTATACCTAGACATAGTAACAGCTGCAAATAAAAACCAATACAGGTGTGTTTTCATGGAGACATAAAAAATATAAGCAGTACTGCTGTCAGCAACTTGATTTTCTGCTCAAGCAAACGAACCCTAGTAAATTTCCAAACTAAAAAAAGTATCTTTCCTCCATTTACAAGGGAATTGCATTTTTGGAAAGCTCAGCATTTGCTAAAAATATCTGTGTTCATACATAAAACAGAGTTAGTTTTCTAGACTGGGGTGATTGTAAGCAGGGTTCTCCCATACGTGAATGTCCAGTTAGGCATTCAAAGGATGTAAGGGCCATAGGATAAGGTTTTTTGGCTGGGCTGCCTATACCATGTGGGAGGACTGGCTTCCCTGTGGCAACCAGAATCCCCCCGCTCCCACACAAACCCACAAGCACACAGGGTCGTTTCATCCCTGCATGCCCCAGGACCGCTCTTCTGGGCCAACATTGGGCTTAGCCACCCAGGGTCCAGAATGCTCAGCGGTCTTTGTGTTTAAATCACTCCCCATTAATACACTGCCAAGGTCTAGGCGAAAAAAACCATGAGTCAGTTTCTCATCCCCAAACTCTCCAGCAATTTACAGAATCCCCTTCACACAGTTATGGAGGAAAGTTTGCCTCTGCATGCAAATGGCCAAAGAAGCCGAAGTTTTCCTACTTGGAGGAAAAATCCTATGGGTGGGAAAGGGGGAGAAGCAGAGTGGAGAGGACATGGCAAGAGAGTAAGAGATGAACGTGCATGTCCAGTCAACCAGCATTTGTCTGGGCCCTCCAGAAAAATAGGAGAGAGAGATCAATCGATTATAAAGAATTGGCTCATGTGATCATGGATGCTGAGAAGTCCCAAGATCTGCAGAGACCAGGAGAGCCAATGGTGTCAGTTCTAGTTCAAGTCTGAGTCCAAAGACCTGAGAATCTGGAGAGCTGAAGGTGTAAGTTCCAGGTTGACTCTCAGCATGAGGGCAGGAGAAGGCCAGTGTCCCAGCTCAAAGATCGTCAAGCAGAGACAGTAACTTGTCCCTCACTCAGCCTGTTGGTTCTACTCAGGATTTCAACAGATTGGATGAGGCCCACCCACCCTGGGGAGGGCAATCTGTTTTCCTCCATCTGCTTATTCAAATGTTAATCTCATTCAGAAATACCCTCACAGACAGGTACAGAATAATGTTTAGCCCAATCTCTGGGTACCCTGGGGCCCAGTCAAGCTGACACATAAAATTAACCACCACACTCTAGATCCTCACTTTCAACCCATTTCCTTTGAGGATCTGGAGCCAAACAGAATTAGAGTCTCACACACACTAACCGATTTGGACAGGGGATTTAGGTGTGTGTTTTCTGGAGAGTCTCACTCAGTGGTGGAAAAGAAAGTTTAGACTATTGTGATTAACTGAGCCACACTTTGAAAACATTGGAATCACTGCTTCCCCCTTCCATACCCTAAAACCAGGAGTCACTATCTGGTAAACAAGCTTCCTGTTTTTCTGTCTTTTCCCGGAGATTTTCCCAATAATTTGGCTGGTTTTTCTTCAGCACTGTGCTGTATAAAAGGCTATGGCCATACCTGGCTGTGCCCAAGCTTTCAATGAAGAGCCCACAACAGTAGAAATTAGGCCGCTGTACAGATAGAGCAGCTCCAGGAAATTTGCTCAGTTTTAGGAGCACATCCGTAGGATGTGTACATGTGCGTGTGCCTAAGTGAAGACGACATCGGTGTTGACACACACGACTGTTCTAAACAGTCCACGCACTCCAGAGTTTCTGAGAGATTCCAGATGCCAAACAACCTCCAGGGGAACTCCGGTCGGGGCAGACCAAGATGGACCCCTCGGCTGTGACCTGCTGCGGTGCTAATGTCTCTCTTCTCACGCAGCCTTCATCTGCTGTTGGAGTCCGTACTTCCTCTTTGACATTTTGGACAATTTCGACCTCCTTCCAGACACCAAGGAGCGCTTCTATGCCTCTGTGATCATTCAGAACCTGCCAGCATTGAACAGCGCCATTAATCCCCTCGTCTACTGCGTCTTCAGTGGCTCTGTCTGTTTCCGCTGCAGGTAAGAGGCGCTCTTGTCTGGTCAGACACACGGACGGCCACTGCACTGGAATTCCAGCGTGTGTGGTCCTCATTCCAAAACTCCCGGCGGGTTACAGAATTCCCATATTATAGACGAGACACGTGGAGTCAGAAAGTTTCCACTAGTGTGACAGGCTCAAATCCAAGCTCAGGGCACAGCCAGGGCTCTTTCACCTTTTCACCTGCACCACCTCAGCTCCTATAGCAACTGCCTTAATCATGGCTCATTTAGGAGACTTTTCTTTTGGTCAAAGTGTCTCCTCATGAATTAGCTCAATCTGATCCTGGGGTGATAGTAGGACATGGAGCATTATTACTGTTTTACAGATACACAAAATAAAGCTCATGAGGTAAAAAGACATTATCGAGGTTATATGAATAAATAGTGGCAGAGCTAAACTTAAATCTCTGCAACTGACATTTTTCTGCTTTCAACTGTTTTCCTGCACGAGCTACAGGGAATAGGTGGAGAAATCCATAGGTGATCTTAGAATGCTTTAAGGCTTGAGCTTAATGCCAATGTCCGAGGTTCAAATCCTACCATTGCTTATCTATAGCTATGCATGACCTTGGACAAGTTATTTAACTTCCATAAATAAGTTTGCTCATCTGTAAAATGGGGCTAGTAGCAGTTACCTCCCTCTTGGCCGGTGATGCCTCTGTCTGCTGTCTCAGGAAGTGCTGACTGCTGGGAAGGAGGGTTGCAAGTAGCAGAGAAGGAAGTCGGGCACTTGACATGTGAAGTATCTAGTGCAGTCGTTTAATCTTTAATACATTCTTCACAACTACCATCTCTTAACCTCTCTACTGCCCTTTTCATCAGGTCAAATTATTTTCCCTCCTACTTTATTCTGACTTCCTCTAGGGAGCAAAGATCACAGGATTCCAGAATGACATTCCGGGAGAGAACTGAGAGGCACGAGATGCAGATCCTGTCCAAGCCAGAATTCATCTAAACCCTGGACGGTGGCCATGCTAGGCTGAGCCCCATCAGCTCTCCTGGACCCCCATCATCAGCTTGGGCATGTGCACAGAACCTATGCTAATGTCTCCACCCTTTTCTTGTTGTCACTTGGGAAATGCACAAGACAAATGTTCTAGTGAGTGCGTGTCACCTGCACTGGGAAGTATTGGCCAGCACAAAGTCTCCCACCATTCATGCCAGCCAGAAAAGACACCCCTTCCTTCCCCCACCATTGCCAGCCTTCCTTCCTGCTGTTCAGCACCCGACCCCAGTGGATAGGGACATCACTGGCTCAGCCTCCTGGCTGGGAGACACTGAGGAAACAAAGAGGGGACAAGAGCAACAGGGTAATACATGAGTCTTATTGCAATTGAAAAGTAAGTAAAAGGCTTAACGAAGCCTAGACATTTCCCCCCAGTTTTGGATTGGAAGTTCAGTGGCTGTAGGCAGGAAGATGTTTGTCCTTGAAATGCCGACAGATTCATTCCCAGGCGCTGGCACGTTGCACCTCCTCTGCGGATAGCCTTGTTTTGCAGATGGATGTGTCAATAGCCAAGCTCACACTCCCGTGGCATCAACAAATGATTTGTGGAAAGGGCACAACTGTGGCCCTCCAGAATAAGGTCACAATGAAGGGGTCCTTTCTCTGATGGGGAAAAAATGTGTGCTGAGGACAAGAATAATGATCACAACTTGTGGTAATAGGCATGCTGGTAATATCGATCTGGCCATGACATCTTGAACACAAGTGGTGACGGTCAGCTTTGCACCCCATGAATATGCATAATCAACAAAAACAAGTATAAATAAATAAACAGAAAGCGACGGACCCCCGATCTCCAGTCTCAGAGGGTTGGGACCCGGAGCTCCGGTGTCTTCGAGGCCCTCTGATGAATCCTCCCGTTGCATTCAACATTTGACCCTCCTCTGGGCTCCATTCCTCACGGCTCAGGGACACTTCCTGCCCTGGAACTCTCTGAACCCTCTCTACAGCTGGGAGCTGAATTTCTGTGGCTTTTCCAGCTTGATGTTTCTGTAAGGTCCTTATCGTTTTTGCATGTCACAGCCTCTGTGTACCAAACCCCTCAGCCGGGAAGCACTGGTGAGGCTTATTTTGATGGGACTGAAGTTTGATGTTTATAAACATAATCCAAGTGAAATATGAAAAAACATGATGGAGAAAATTGACTAGAAAACATTTAGTCATAAGTGAAAATGAAATAATTTAATTTGATCATGTGTATATTTCCCCCCAGGCTCTGGGACGCACGTGAGCACCTTATTTTTAGCTTCATGTACATTCTTGACATTAAAATCTCCTTGGCAAAATTCTCCTTCCCAGAATTATTCAGAGTTTCTCTCTCTCTCTCTCTCTCTCTCTCTCTCTCTCTCTAATAGCATTCCATTCCTCATTACGGTGTCAACTCAAAGACATGTTCAAGGTCATGGTGGCATTTTTTTCATAAATTCTCTTTTCAATTCCATCTGACCCTAGAGAAAGTATCTCTTTAGGCAGAAACCAGACTCCTCAGTCACCATCTCTCTGAGAATTATTCTCTGGATTCGAGTAGCCCGAATAATTTAGTATGTCTGTGTCCACACAGCAATTGAAGGCTTTCTCCCTCTCTGGCCAATCATCTAAACTTGAGCAACCCAGAAGCTGTGAGTGGTTGAGAAGTGCTTTTCAACATTTCGCTTTAAATCAACATGTGCCACCAAAGACCCACGGAGTTGTTGCTAAAATAGCTGCTTGTACAGGAGCCAATTAACAGAGCAAATCTGGCTGGTGTCCTAGACAGCAAAACAGGAGCCCCCGATTCTCTGACAGATGCTTTCAATCCCTGTCACGTTCTGGTCTGCAGAAGACATTACATGCCTCCCCCACCCATCAGTGGATTCCTAAAATTAAGGAGAGTGGAGTGAGGGGCTTTGTGCTTCTTAACAACTGTGAATGTGATTTGATTTTGCAGTCGTTGTGATGCTATGTTGCTCACTCCCCGAGAAGACTGGAGATCGGTAAGATAATGTCACTGACGGCTGCTGGATAAGCTGCCATTAAAATAAAACTTACTTTATATTGGTGTGGATTCTGGAATCCTCGTGTCCTTGTATTTCCCGAGCCTGAGGAAAATGATTCAAACATTATGAGAACACTGGTAATTTCTAGTCTGATGACCTTGGGCAAATCATTCCGTGTTTCTGGGCATCAATTATCTTATCTGTAAGATGGGAACATGGGGCAGAGAATCCTGGGGTTCCTTACAGCTACAAGCACTGATATTGTAATGGCTTAAATTAAACTGCTTCTGCAGTTGCTCTCCAGGGGACCAATGACTCAGTGGCTCACACTGAGTCATGTGCCATTTAGAGGTGTAACTTCCCTATCTATTACTATGAACTCAGAAAACATCACTTCCTAACTAGGAGATACAGTCTGAGCTCTTGGAGAAAATTAGAAGCTTAGTGCTGTGATGTTACTGTTTGTAGCCTTGGATGCCTAAGTGAGGCCAGAGAAGCCAGCAGGGTGGCACGTAAAATAAAGATGTTTACTTTCTGCACCAAGATGTCAAAGAAGCCTATGATTACACTGTCACATGACTTCAGGGACAGGGGAAACTTGAAGATAACGAGAGTAGGTGTGCTTAATATGTTTAGCCACATTATAGAAAATAAGTGTCTTCACGTTCCTGAACTAAATTAAATATGAATGGTAAAATCTTTGCTTTCAGGGCACATGTGGAACATAATTGAATTGAAAGTTAATTGCACCTAGCAACATCTCCCACCTTTTTTCCTCAGAAAGTGGTAACACTTTTTTAAAGACTTTCATTTGTGATTAATCATGAGAAAAAAAGTGTCCATCTTAAACCTGACTAACATGCAGCTTGAACTTTCTTCCTAGCTTCATTTGGCAACGCTGTATTTACATATACAAATGGCCTTACCTTTTCCTTCTGCATCCACAGTGTCAATCAAAAAAGCCTACAAGCTGGGTCTGCTGAGGAAATAAGAAAACAAAAATATTTTCAGGAGGAAATAAAGTGATTCTGCTCTTTAGGTGAGCTGCAGACCTGCTGGCAACTCCAGGATTTTTTTTGGTGGGGGAGGTGTCATTATTTGAATATACCTCATCTTATATACAGATCTATCGGTGTTTCCTGCAGATTTTCAACTGCATCTGATTGAAAAGAAATGGCCCTAACTATGTAGGGGCCAACCTCCTTGATTCTGGAAACATGAAAAACCCATGCCTCATTTCTCTGCAATTGTATTTTAAGAATGCATTATCCACAACAGGATGGTTCAGTTAACACTTTAAAAAGTGTAATTCCAAGCTTCTTATAGAATGTTAAAGTGGATGGAGTCTTGGATCATCTAGTTTCATGATTTTCAGACTGCTCAGGAACTCTCAAAGGGGTTCCAGGGAGATGACTCAATATTAATATTCATACAACAATAGCATATAAATCTAGAGGCAACTAAACGTAGCTAAATTGTTTCAAGTTCCTTGTATTGCCTTGAATGAGGATAAAATGTAGATTAAGATTAGACATTGATACACCAAGAATGCGTGTTACGATTTCAGAGTAATCACTAAAAGAGTAGAAACGAAGAAGTATATAACTTCTAAACTAAAAGAGAAAGATAACTGAGTGATAAAAATCACTCCAGCAACCTAAAGGAAGGCAAGAAAAGAAACACAGAACAGCCGAGACAAATACAAAGCACAGAGGAAGGTCATGGATTTTTCATCCAAATATAACAGTAATAATAATAAATGCAAAGGCATTAAATGCTCCAGTTAATAATCAAAGATTGTCAGACCAGACCTAAAAAAAAACAAGAAACAAACAAGAAAAACCAACTCTGTTTATATTAGCCCATTTCTGTTGCTTATAACAAAATACACAGAACTGGGTGATTTATAAAGAAACAAAATTTATCGCTTACAGTTTCAGAGGCTGGGAAGTCCAAAGTCCAGGGAACACATCTGGTGAGGGTCTTGGTGGTGGCAACAGCAACCCACGGGTCTCACGTTGCAAGAGGAGGGAAGCAGAGAGAGAGCAAGAGAGAGACAGACTCTTCTCTCTTCTGTTAAAGCCCTCAGAGCCACGCCCCTGACCACCATCTCTAATCCATTCACTATGGCATGGTTCCACAATCCAGTCACCAAGGCTCCACCCTTAAATCACCATAACAGGATTTCCCACCCTCCTAACAGTCACAGTGGGGGCCAAGTTTCTAATACATAAAACCTGGGGGACACAATTCAAGCTTCAGTGAGTTTTGGGGAGACATAATTCAATCCACTACACTGTTTTACAAGAGACATGCCTAAAACACAAGGATACAGAAAGTTTGAAAATAAAAGAATGGACCAATTTATTCCATGGAAACAGTACCTACATTAAAGCAGGTGAGGCTATGTTAATAAAGACCAAATACACAATAAAGCCAAAAGTATTAATAGAGTTAGACAGGAACACTTTATAAAGATAGATGCTTTAATAAGATGAAATAAAAATTCTAAATTTCTGTGCATTTAAAAATATGGCCTCGAAATGTATACTTTAAAAAGTTGCCAAAACTATACAGCAAGTAGAAAAGCCCACAACCATTTCAGAGAATTTTATCACACTTAATTCCAATAATTAAAGCAGACAGAAGTTAGGAATGACCTGGATAATTTGAACATTAATAACCCAGGCAGAATATTTTTCCCTACCCCCCCCCCCAGAATAGACATTTTTCCAAGCACATCTGAAGCAGGTACAAAAGTTGACCCTATGCCAGGCGATGAAACAAGCTTCTCAACTTTCACAGTACTGAACTCACACAAGTCTAGTTTGTTTTGTTTTTGTCACAGTGTAATTATGCTAAAACTCAAGAGAAGGAATATAACTAGAAAATTCCCATAGGCTTGGAAATTAGGAAATACATTTTTGAGTAACTTATCAAAGAAGAGAGCATGTAAAAATTAGAAAACAATTGCACTGAATGTTAATTAAAGTATTATATATCAAAATATGTGGAATGCAAATAAAATAATACTTAAAGAAAAAGAAAAAAGATTAAAAATCAATAAACAAATCATCTATCACATAAAGTCAGAAAAATTCACCAAAATAAACCCAAGGGCAGTAGAATAAAGAATGAGAGTAATAGTAAAATTAATGTAAAAAAAACAAACATAATAAAATGTCTCTGCAAAGATAAAATTCTGTTCTTGGAAAAAATTATTTAATAAACTTCTGGCAAGACTGGTCAAAAAAACAGAGAGAGAAGGCAAAAAATAAGCAGTATTTTTGAAAGGATATCACAAT